CTTTGAGGTGCTGTCATGGTGTGTGCGTGTATGATTGTGTGTTCCTGTAGGGTTCACGGGTCAGCCACTTCAGACAGTTTTGATTCAAGCTATAGCTGCAACTAAAAGTATGTTTAATCACTGCTTTATTTGTTGAACATTTTTAAATGAGTGATCACAGGTAACCAAAGCGCAGTTTTTAAATTGACAATTATCTAAGCTCCGCCCCCTTAGTTACTCATGCTATGCATTTCAAGCTTTAAGTCTGATGTTAATTTAGTTTTCTTTAAAGAACTCTGTAAGCTCTAGCACAAAGTCGTTTCGAGGTATTTGAAGTTTACGGTCATGTTGGAAAATGTTCCACAAAAAGTTTTAGTAGTTTTTGAAAACAATCGATTTCAGTATTTTAGACAGAGGAGGATGAAAGAGAGCTTCTTATGATTTGCGACGGCTATCTGACATGACTACTGTTACTAGAGGATTTTATCAGCTTGCTTATCGAGCTTTTTTAAACTCCATTTTGCAGGATAAAGCACTGAAGGCTGACGCTTTTTCTAACAACGAGGTTTAATGGAATGTAAATGTCCCCAACTCCAAATAAATAAAACAAACTTTTTAATAATTGAAATAACTTGTAACACCACAAAGTATAAAATGCTCATTGGCTTGGTTACATCAGGTAGCAAGCTAATTAGCCTGACATGCAAATGATACACCCTCATTCCTGACACTTGTTTTGAATTTTTGAGTTACATGTACAGTTTCACAGCCTCAGTCGGTTTTTTTGACAGTCACTGTTCATGAAAGGGTTTATAGCAAAGTGAGGTGCTCAAAAAATATGAACCCTGAAAAGCAAATTTCAACATTGGAAAACATAGAAAGGTAGACTGTTGTGTTTTGTTTGCCTGAGAGATTACTTTAACAATACATGTATTTTTGAATTGTGTTGCATTTGTTACTTTGAATGAAAAAAGTTACAGATATGAATAAGCTCCCCGGTTGGACCGAACTCTGAAAAAGTTCATTTTGACCTCAGCTTTGCAGAAATCAGCTTACATATTGCAGCAACAGAGGTAAAAGGTTGAAGAACATCCAAAGTACTCAGCCGTGCTTGAAAGAGTGTAGTAAAGTTGTTGGCTTCAGTTTGTCGGAGCTTTTTACGTTACATAAGCCGCTGCCCCCCCCCCCCCTTCTCACTCTTTCATTTTGCACAAAAGATTTCTGGAAACACACACAGACAGACACACACGCCATCAGTGTGGCATGGCAGCCATCCAGAGAGGGGCTCCAGTGTCGCTTGGTTTCAAAGAGCTCTTTGCTTATTGTCCTTTTGATGCTCGCTCCCCAGCAGCAGTGGAGCAGAAATGCCGAACGTCCGGCTTTGATATGAATTTGTCTCTCATTCTCCACACCACTGAGCAGCATATCCCAAAAAAATGCCTCCTGAAGTTCCAATAAGAAAATCAAATGGACTTAAACCCAAAATGAGACTCCTGTATGAAGTCTACTGTTTCACAGGAGACAACATGCTTCACTCTCTCACTAGCTGAAATACGGACACAAATGGGGTTTGGCAACATGATCACTGCTACCTCCCTGGAGATCACAGACTTTGGAAAAATAAATTACCACTCATCGTTAGGAGGTATTATTGCAGTTTTAAATACAATTGACAATGATAGTCTTGTACCATCTTTTTTCTCTTAGGTGGGGGGGGCTGATGTGGGTAATGACACGCAGAAAATTAACCAAAGGTGGGACTTGAACCTGGGCAACACGCTTCAAGGACTGCATCCTCTGTACATAGGTCATGCAAATTAACAACTAGGCCAATGTCACCTTGCTTTTACCATTTTTTTAAACCTGGATAGACATGGGTGGCAGTGCTCTGTAATAGTTTAGCGTCTATAGAAAAGATGGGCTGTAATGTGTTGACGGAAAATCAACTACAACAGTAGTTTACTGTGGTGTCCCCCAAGGCTTGTTGCTGGGTCTTTTGATTTCTTATGTTTAATTTTTTTAAAGACTAAATTATCACTCCATTAATCACACTTAATTTTGCATATAAATTATTTATGCAATTTATTTTTAACCTTTTTGGTCAGAGGTTTAGGTGTGACTTTTCAATCTCATACAACAGGTATGCATGCGTTGTTTTTTTTTTGTTGCCGAAAATGTTCTCTGTAGGTACACATGCTTAAGTTTCTCTGGGTGCCAGTTGTTTGGAATTCACAGTTCAGCTTTTTGAGTTGTGACGTTTCAAAGGAATGCAGCATTTATGTGTGAAAACTGTGTGTGTGTCTGTGTCTGTGTGTGTGCGCACTCAGAGCCATGTGTGTGTAACATTCCAGACAGTGTTAGAGGTATGTGAATTACGTCTTAAAGAGAGAGAATGTGAGGAATCTTCTGCCATGAGAAGGACGCTGTTGTTTACTGACACAGTAGTGAAAAGGAGGTTCCTGTGTGTGTGTGTGTGTGTGTGTGTGTGTGTGTGTGTGTGTGTGTGTGTGTGTGTGTGTGTGTGTGTGTGTGTGTGTGTGTGTGTGTGTGTGTGTGTGTGTGTGTGTGTGTGTGTGTGTGTGTGTGTGTGTGTGTGTGTGGTGGGGGGGGGGGTTCGGAGTCATTATTGAAATGTTTATGGTACATGCAGCCAGAAAAGAAGATATGCAGCCCTTTTTTTTTTATAACTATCTCAATTTATTGTCAACAACAAGTAGCTTAATTAGAGTGAAATCTTTGTATTCTCTTTATGCATCTCCTCTTTCTCTTGTACAATTGTATGAAACATTAGTAGATATAACTCAAACTGTGTTAAATAAGAAAAACCTCTATATAGTTTGAACACTCAGTACATTTGCACCGAGATGATTAAATTCGTTCAACAGACCTGATATTGTTTTGTTAATCTCATGGACTGCACAAGCCGAATGTAAACATGGACACTTTCCCATTGTATTTCTGATAGAGGTAGTTCAGTAATGAATGTGGACATGGTAGTTGTAAAGATAATCTACTTTTTTTGGGCTAATATTTGCGTTATGAGTTTAGGTTCTCCAAAAAGGTTCCTTGTTTAGTTTGTGCTGCATGAGAAGACATATTGAACATACATACCTACACACACATACTGAACATCAACACATAAGGGTATACACATACAGTACACACATAAATGCATTCATACTTGCATGCATGGTACTCATTGCCAATGCCAGTTCCATGCTTTGACACAGGTTTAAAGTTGTTGTCATGGCAACGCTTAAGGTCAACATGGAAGCTACTTGCTTAGCGACTTCCACTGAAAGACTGTTAACAACTAAAAGCCTTGAGTGAACTAACAGCCTTGAGTGAAGACTATTTGCTTTAGAAACAAAAATGTATTAAAATGAATAGCTTCTTTGTTGATTGTTTGGGGGGTTTATTTTGTTATTAATATATTTGTGTTGTTGTTGTGTTTTTCTCATTAGATTTGGGATATGAGCGATGATGAGAGCATCTAAAGGACTAGAGGAACAACCCTTCACATCCAAAGGACCCAGCACTCCTATCCATGTTTCTGTCTCTTTAAGGATGTCATATTTACAGTGTGGACTTATAATGGGATGAAGGCCTGGCGTACATAAGTAGACTAATTGATCAAATTGAAGTTATCAAAACCAAATTTCACAGCCTCTTTGGAATACTAGCGGAGTAGCTTTAATATTACCATTATCTTTTCAATTTAAATTAACCCAAGCATTAGGGTCTTCACAATGAACAGTGATATGTTAAATATATTACTTCCTTTTAATGTTTTGTAAGCCATATTTTATGTCGTTTTTTTACAGAGAATGTACACATTCATAGCCCCTGTTAAATTGATATCAGTCACACTTACTCAGCATTTGGAGCACATAACACAGCACTTGTTTTTGTATGAAAAGCTTTTTCTTAAGTCTCACTGAATGTTCACAGGTTTGATCCTTCCTATAGTCTCTCTATCAAATGTCAAGGTTCTGATAAAATGTCCTTAAGCAAGACATAGATAAACTACATCTGCAGGTTCATGGAAAAGTGCTTCAGACTAATAAAATAAAAAAACACAAATCAGCAGATCTAGCCATCTCCCTGTGTTTGGAGACGTACAGATGCAGTTCAGTTAATACTAAAACCAGCTTTGTTTGTTTGAAAGGTTGGAAAGCAGCCCACGTATGTTTCTGTACAGCGACTTAACAGTGGCCTCTGATATGGAAAGGAGTTACTGTAATAAGCTGGAAAGTACATCTGCACACATTACTCAAAGAGAAACAATGGAGAAACTGAAGGTTTGAAGGTTTAATGCATGCTTGTGTTTGTCTTTACAGTTTACATTGCTTTTCTGCCATATACTGTTTTTCCAATCTGCTATTGTACAATATATTAATGTCAGTGTTTCAGACTGGAGTCAAAGGTGCCCCGTGCAGTTTGTGTCCACTGGTGGCAATGTTTTTATGAATGAATTACAATTTGAATTTAAAAAAACTTCAGCCAAGCCAATGTTTTTGAGGGAAGTAAGAACACTTAGTATGTCTGTTTGACCTCAGTGACACTCAGTGAGAGGTTAGAAACTAAATGTAAACATGGCTTTTGTTGAACAAAACCACTCCACAGGGCACCTTCTAAACCAAGACTTGTGAGAGAAGTCATGAAAAAATAAAGCACAGAATTCAATTTTTTTTTCCCACCTCAGATTTCATTTTTAAAAAATGGATTAAACTACGAATTGTCACTCTGTTTTAAAAATTCAGGATATTTTCAGTGCGTTCAGTTGTGTGGCACTTTTCCTCTACTCTAAGTATTTCACCAAAAAACTGGAATAAAATTGTTCTTTAATAATTGCTTGTCTTTTATTGCTTTGGAACTGTATAAGGTTTTTGTTTTTTTCATATCAGGTTTAGATCCTCATTCTTGGGCATTTATGACTCCGACCTTTATCTTGCTGAACACTCATTTCTAAAAACTTGTCTTGGCTATTTCACACAGAAAATCAGACCAGCACAGTGAAAGTAGTTTAAAAGCATTTTATTGTTCATCAAGGCTACTTTACGTACAAAAAAGGTGGCCTGCCAAAACCTTTTTAGTAGGAGACACAGCGCCACAAATAGTTTTCTTGATACATTTTTTGTTTTACAGTTCAGAGTATTACTACCACTAAGTACAAGCTACTTCCACTTCAAAAAAGGACCTGGGAATTGTAGTACAGTTTGACTACAGACCAACTCCTTTTTGATTTATCTGCACAGTTTTCACTTGATCATGATGAAAGCAAAATGGCCTCCACAGATGGGAACAGGAACATCAGATTCATATCAGTGAAAATCCCAACGCTGTTATCAGTAAATCATCTCAGCTTCATTGACTGCCTAAGAAGATGAACTTGAAAACATTTAAAGATGTTCATCAGTCCAATTCTAACATTTTAATTTCAATGAACTTGAAGACTGACAAATCTTCCAACCGTCTGATGGTTTTACTTGACTCACAGTTCCCATTTGTAGACCTCGACCCACACAATGTATATTGCTCACATGCAGAGGTGGACATCTGACCTGCCTTATAGCCCAAGTCTACTGTTGTGGTTTATTAGATTTTTTTTTTTTTAAATAGTTCAATGGAAACTCTTAGCCTCTTGGATGGCAAGAGTCACTGGGCTAGTATCAAACTAATTCTGTTCTGCAAAACGTGCACATTTCTTAAGAACAAGCACCTCCTCTTCAAACTTTTGATCAGATGTTGTACAATCGAGCGCTGCAGAACATTGGGGATGAATGGAAGTAGCGTTTCTCACACTGGTGGCTTGTTGTGGTTTCATACATTTACTGTGTTCCTGCACTTGAACCTTTACTCTAACACAACAAACTCTTTAAACAAAAAAGATCAACTTTTTTCACAAAAAGAAAAAAAATGCAATGATTACAATATAAGGACAGGGAAAACCAACAATTAAATAGCTACATATCATTAACAAATTAATTGTTCCTCAAAAAATACCTACGATTTTTTTCTCTGTACATTCGTTACGCACAGCGTAATGATGGTCTTTATAGTTACCTATTATAAAAAAGTATTTTTTTTTTATTAAGTGATTTCCTACAGTATGTAGGGAGTGTGTGCCAAAGCAGAAAGAGAGCCTCCTACCTACAGGGTGGTAGTGAAATGATAATGAGAAAGAATAATAATAGAAAAACTAAATGGACACTGAACCCTTTCCCCCATGTTTTCAAGCATGTTGCGAACAACATCCACACTTAAATCAGGGTCAACTGAATCTGAGAGGAGGGGAGGCAGCGCTGTGAGTCCTGGAAAAAGACTAAGCGGCAGCTGAGCATCTCCTGGCTCACAAGTTTGTGCTTACAGAAGCTCAGCTCCTGAAGCTGTGCTGCCCCCAAACCTGCCAGCTAAAATAAAATAAAAGTCCTGATCCATCCAGACCACTCTGAACCTGTCACCTGTAATTATGAGATTCAAATAGTGTATCAGAAGATTCTAGAACTTAACCATCAGTTCTGGTTCAGTCACATCTGCTCTGATAGTAGAGGATGGAATGTGTGGACATTCTAGAACATGCTTCCACTTAGAGAACTTTGTAACAGATGAACTTATAATGCTTTATAAAAATGACCTGAACCAAACAAATAACCTAAGCCTACTTTATTACGATTCCCACGGTCCACTGTTAAAAGCCCCTTTTCTCTAAATTCCATGCTCTGAATGTCCTCAGATATGTTCAATCCAAAGCACTTCTTAGTTTCCATATAACGCGGTATTGATTTATGGCTAAGTTTTTCAATGACAAGAAAAAAGCAAAAGTGGACTTCCTGCATTTCCCATTCAGGCATCAAGATCTGAGGGAACTCTTGGGCTGTAGTCCACGGCTGGTTGTGTTGTTATATGGAGATTCTGAGTGTGTGTGTGTGAGGCCTGTACAAAGTTCCCTATAGGAGGAATGTATGCCACCATGGCGCAGACTTTCACAAAGTACAAGTCATTTTCTCAGACTGCAGCAACAACACAATGTTGTTCAGAACAAAAAAATATTGAAGTACAAAATAAAATGTCTGGACACCAAGTCAGGACACAAACATTTCATTAGAGGTCCTTTCAAAAACACCACGTTTCCTGAATGCATCATCATTCTAGGTTGTCCTGTATGAAATACTTTTCATACTGCAGCAATAATCTGGGTTAAAGATTAGCAGTAAAATGGTGTATTTAAAGATTGTAGCCAAACAGGTTCATGAAACTAAACTCGATTTCGTCTTGATTTTGATGCATTCCAGGAAAACACGGCCCTGCTGACTAACTTGTGCCAGTTTGGTGTCTCAGCTCAGTCATGCTGAAGGTTGTAGCATCCTGTACCACTGATTAATCAACATCTTTAGAAACCATTATGAGTTGCACATCCCATCAACACCCACTCAGCAACAGAACAATCCCCTCCCCCGCCACAGGATCGAGCTGATGGACCCCTGTGCTGAGGTGGTGTTGGGAAATGCAGAGCCTGTCCAGAGGCCGTCCCACCATAGATGTTTGTTACCATAATGATATTAATGGAAAACAAGAAATACACAACTGTAATATAACAACAACAATAATAACATGGAGTACAACTGACCCAGCAGTGAGTGTATAGTGTCTATGTCTGTTACTGTTGATGAAAGTAACAACTAACGTCCGAATGAAAAGGCTAATAGTAGTACAATTTGAAATGCTTAAAAACATTAATAGATACCAGCTATCAAAAACAAAACAGAAAAAAAACAACAACGTGCATGTGTAAAAGCATTAGTTCACCCTTCAAACATTTTGGAAATCTATCAAAGTACAGAGTGAAGGAGAGGGAGGGACAGCAGAGTGGAAGCCAAACATAAAAACACCTGTGTTCAAAGAGTTACAAAATCAAAGGTGTGTTTGAAGAGATCTGAATAATCTTCACTCCCCCAGTCGAGAAACCAGACATGTTTTTTTTGTCCCCCCCCCCTCCCCGCCCCAACCACAAAGTGACGTTCAGAGTCATCTATCCCCTCATCACTGTCATCGGGTAAGTCTGTGAAGCACATCAAAGCTTACTGCCTACTGCCTTCAACAGGCTGCAGGTTTGTACAACTGTGTTTTCATTCCTGATCTCTTGTCAAGACGCCTGGGATGTCCATCAACACCACATTAATAAGCTGACTGTGTTTGTGAAATAAAAGGTGGTAAATTGGCACAATTTAAATTGATAAAGTCTCATTAATTGTGCTTGTACCAAGTAATGTGGTGTTAATTGGTACAAGGATAACTTAATTGTTAGTAGTTTCCTCTAGTCTTGTAGGGCTGGATGATTTGATCCATTTACTTTTCCAATTTGTTCAGAATACTGAAGATGAACATTCTTCTTAACATACACCTACACGGCCACTGCATACCCATACTTTGTTACATTTTCCTTACACTTTCATGGTTATGTTCTAACAACACCTCTGAATATATGGTAAGTATAAATAGCTGAGTAAAACATCACGTATCCATGGTGATGGATGTTAGATATTTCTGGTCTCAGACAATTGTCCCTTAGACCTACTTCAAGCCTTCTCTTACCTAGTAAGCATGGTTTTTTTTTCCATCAACACGTAGGTATGTCATTTGATTAATTTCATAATTAAACATACACTATCCAAATCTGTATCCCATATATTCCATACTGCCCAGGCCTACTTTTTGAATTTTTCAAATACATTTCATAATGGATGCTTTACAATGTGGGCTTTCTCTGTCACTGCCAGGATCAAGTGAAGCCCAGGTAGGTTTGAGATCAAATAGAGATCAACAGAGGGCTGGATTATAGTAGATTGGGACCGAAAAAGCACATTTTTGACCCCGTGTGCAGTGCTGGATTTCCAAAGAAACACCTTTTTATTCTCTACAGCAGTAGTGCAAATCAGACCAAGCCGATCACCCAAGTGTACACATGCAGTAACGAAACCACCAGAACACACACACAGGAGAGGGGAAGAAGGTGGGAGAATGAAAGATGATCAAACAGAGGATGTAGACCACATAATGGTGGCTTGTTGTTGTTGTTGTTTTTGTTTTCTCAAAAGGCATTGATAAACGTCAGTGTCTGAGGTTTTCTTTGGTAGCACAGTCAGGTGGTTTGTGAATATTATCCAAAGTGTTTCTCGCTTATCTTTTCTTTCAATTGTCGGGCATCTCGTAACACAAAAAGCAGTTCACAAAACTACTGTTAAAGAAACAACAAAACAAAAAACAAAGAAGAAAATTAATAATTAAAACACCGCCTTTCTCCTCTCTCTTTATGTACATATAACTACAGACGCTAGCTCACCTCCGAGCTCGACATCAAGGGATGATGAATTGTTGGATGGAGCAGCGCTATGCTCCAGTCAAGTCCAAACGTTGAACCCTCATCGCTCATTACTGATTACTGTCCAGCTTTAACAAACCAGGGCACAGAAGGGGAAAAGAAATGACCATCATGTTATTGCTTGATTTTTCCTCTATGAGTGCATAGAAAGAGAGTGCAGGACTGAGGGTTGAGGGTGTTTTTAGCAGACCAGCAGGCAGGCATTCCCTCAGGTATGCTGGTGACAGAACATTTGACAGGGGCATTATAAGGGGTTGAATTTCGAGGTCTGGGGATCGAGTGGATTCACCCCACTGAAACCCTCCTCGTTCAGGAGACCACAGAAGGGGAATGGTTGTGATTGACCATGCGACTGTCGGGGGAGGAGTTTGGGCTGCTACCCGAAGATGAGGGACTCCCCTTGTTTTTAATCTGCAGCCAGGTCTCGCCTAGGGCCTTGGCGAAGTGGTCGTCCACTGAGCCCGTGATGGACACAGAGTTGGTGGCAGTAGGCTCGGGCTGCTTGTAGTTCTTTCCAAGACTGCGGCGGAAATGCTCTTCGATCACTGGGTCACAGGCTGTGTTAGCTGAACAGGGAGGAGAGGAGAAAGAGTTTATTTCCCATAATGAAAAGAGAAACGTCTTTAAAACTCACTTGTATAACGGCCGTGGGTATTTTACTACCTAGCATCGGTTTAAACATTGGTAATATGCATTTTAGGTCAATGGAAAAACGTCTACTCCACTTTGTCAGTGCAGTTTTTTTTAATATGAAATCACTGTTTTACATTTCACTGTTAACCTCAATGAGATCATAGGGATTTCACTGGGATCATAAAAAAGGCCGCAGTAAAGTTATCATCCCACAGAAAACATGACGGCTACTGACAGACAGGAGGAATAAAACACATGTTTGGCTGAGGCCTCGGCTGACTTTTACAGCACACACATCAAATAGTAAATAACGCATATTGAGGCTATATCGCTATTTATGTGCTATGCACTGAAAGACTCCCTGACTGAAAACTGGAATTATTATCAGTTTTTTTAACATCACTTGTCATATAAGTAAATTTGAGTGAGATGTTGAAGAGAGGTTTCCCTTACACTTCACTGTTTGTTTCAAGAACCATCTCCATTCTTTCAGGACATATATATGCTACAATTCATTACTGAGATATCATGTTCAGTCTTTGATGCTCTGTCTACTATAGCTAGAACAGACCCAAAAACCAAAATGCAACAATATAGATAACTTAGATGTCATGAGTGCACTCACTGTTGATTCTCCTGTAGTTGTTGGCGAGACTTGAGCAGCCGTTGTGGGAAACAGGACAGTGAGACAGGTTGCAGTTGCGGTTGTTGGCTGGAGCGCATGTAATTACTGACGGACGATTCTGAAAGACACAAATTTAACACTTGAAGTTGGAAACTATTCATGTAGAGATGACAGACCAAAGACAAGTTTGAAGTAAGAGGGAGAGGGAATGATTCAGTGACCACCAGGGTTTGAAAACATTTTTTGGCTAACAAGTCAAATAGGAAAATTCAACTCTCAGCTAGCCAAGGAGCCTGGCTAATGAAAGGACATTATTCACATCATGCTGAGGACCTACCAGGGTTGAGGTTTACACCAACATTTAGCAAAAAGATTGAGTCAATATATTCAGGAATAACAGAAACAGGATGAACAGGTTACCTGCTGGCGCTCCACGGTGCTGACTGTGTGCGGAACTGAGGCCATCACTGCTGTGCTGCTGCGTGCAGACTCCACCACCATGCTGTTTTTGGTGAGTGCCAGTGGCTGGTCCATGCCTAAGCTGGCCAGGTGGTGATGGTGGTGGTGGTGGGCGTGGCTGTACAGGTGGTTGCCATGGACTCCCAGCGCACTGGGCACCACCACACGCTCGATGGGGCTTCGGCTGCGGTCCTTGGAGAGGGGAGAGCTGCGGTAATCTCCATTAGGTTTCCTGGGGAGCAGAGGGAAAGACTCATATTACATACATTTATTTCTGGATCAGGGTCACATATCACGTTACAGACTCTAAATCTAGTTACAGGACTAAATGTAAATGCTTTTTATACTCGTTGATCCATTTTGGTTTAGTTTACAACAATCTGGAGTTTTAGGGAAGAGCTCCAAATAGAACAGGATTAGGAAAGACCAGTGGCACTAGGTTTAAGGGCAAAGACAGACTGAGTGGTAAAAAGGGCTCAGAAAGGAATAGAGATTTAGATGTGGAAAAAAATAGGAGAGATAAACAGAAGAGCTATTGTAAATGAGGCTCTGTATCAAACACTGCAGCACCAGCAGAAACTATTAATACTGACCCCACTTACATGCATACACGCACTCTTACTTCTCAGATTGCTGTAGGGTTTTATACAATTGTTTTTAACAAGCACATGCTCTCTCGCTCTCTCTCTCTCTCTCTCTCTCTCTCCAAGTCAAGAAGGAGGAAGGAAAAATCTTCTAACTTCAGCAAAGATAAGGATAAGAGTACCGAGTAACAACACTCAAACACAACATAGATTTTGGACTTTTTTAAACGTAGTGACGTGGTGCTTGATACTGTGTGCACTTGCTTGCAGTTTAACAAAGTAATTATTCTTTCTCCGTAAGTTAGATGTGTACTGTGCGTTCGTTCAACTGTGTATTACACCCTTACTGCAGCTCCACTCCCCTCCTAAAATTTGAGGCCCTGTTAGAGGGAGAAAGATTTACTGTACTCGCCTTTCACTATCTCATCCTCTCTCTCCAACTTCCTCTCCACAAGCCTTCACAAATCCTTCAAAAAAATCAACACATTCACAATTCCTCTCTCATAAAAGAAATAACACTATTTCAACAATCTTTGGGGGAGAAAACATCCAACTATACTACAAGCAAGCTGCACCTCAAAAGTTGGGAACAGAATACATTAAATTGCCTCTTTTCTTAATCAGTTACTGTGTGGAGGCATTTTTTTCCCCATGAGAAAAAGTCTGGGGGAAGAATTAGAATAAGAATACACAACAGATCTGAGAGTGAAAAAGCTGCAGCAGCCCTTTAAAGGTTTGTTTGGATGCACAACAAGTTCAGTCAAACAGTTGTAGATCCATGTGACCAGGCAACCTGACTGCTGGGTCAAGCATCTGGAGCCAACAGCACCATCCTGCACAAATAAACAGTCTCCACAGAATACAGGGAGAGAGAGAGAGAGAGAGAGAGAGAGAGAGAGAGAGAGAGAGAGAGAGAGAGAGAGAGAGAGAGAGAGCTGAGGAGAGGCGGGGAAGGAGGGGAGGGCGCTGAATGTGAATAGTCCAGACCACAACTATAAGAAAGAGAAAGGTCGCTAGTTTCCTTCGTTTGTGCCGAGAGCTTACATTAGTAGGGGACCCCCCCTTTTCTTTTTTTTTTCTTGTTTTGTCTTCCTCTCCCTTTTTCCCCCCTCACAATCAGCAGCAAACTTCCTGAGGGTCAAGGAGGGAGAGACTTGGCAACGCTTTCAGAAAACCTAGCCGACGGCTTTTTTGTTTACCCCCCTTTTTTCACATTTATTCTATCAATTATGTATAAAAAAAAAGGTACTGCCATTAAAATCAGATCACAATATTCCCATGGTGCTCAAAAGTTAATATATTGTTTAGATAATCCCTACAGGGAAAATCAACTTTCAATCAAATTATGCCAACCAAAGCCTTCCTCTATAACTTTGTTATCTTCAAATATAAACTATGCCTTGATTAGCTCAGGGGCAAAGAGATAAGAGAGCCCTCTCTCTTTCTTCCCCTTCCCTCTCTCCCTTTGTCCCCGTCCCAGCAGCTGGGTCTTGAGTTAGGTTGTGGAAGTTGTTCCAAACTTTAATCATTGCCAAAAGGCAGGCATGCCCACATCCTCAGACAAGAGGGCCGTCGCAGGAGCCAGATCAACAAATCCGACCAATGAATGGTGTGGCTGTTGAATCCACCGCAGCCCCCGCCTTCCCCTCGCCTGATTGCGTACCAAACCCTGGACTGCAATTCATGCCAGGGATCAGGCATTGAAAAATCCACCCATTGTCTTTGTCTCTCTCTTACTCACCTCTCAATTATAGTTAGGGTCACAGCTGGGGAGAGAGAGCAAGGGTGCAAAGGGCTGAAGGCGAGGGCTTCACACAAGACAAGGGGAAGGGGGAATTAACAAGGACTAGAGTTGAAGAGAGAGGGTTGCCAAGTCTGGGGCTAGAGTAGAATTAGAGCTAAAAGTGGGAGTGAGATGGGGAGAGAGAGGGAGGCAGCCATTGAAAAGTAAAGAACTCCTGGCACTCACAGGGGGTATGAGGGGACACACTGAATAGGAAGCAAAAGAGGCGAGAGGACAGGACTGTGCTAAAAAGACAAGGGAAGAGGTTGGGGACACAGCTTAATCTTATTTCACAATAAATGTTCTCTTGGTTACTAATCACTCTTGGATCAAGCTGGAGTGTGGAGTAAACAGCTCACAGATGTGCAGAGGTTTGTTCTGAGGTAAAGCGGAGAGAGGGGAGAAAATTATGTATGCGCAACTATTTTGTTCTGTTAAGGAATTTTGTTCGAGATAGAACTACTCAATCAGAGTTTGCACAATGTTGTGTGCAAATGTGATCCATTTATCCAACATGGAGGTGATTCAGACACAGCCTCAGTCAAAACATATCTCTTAAAGAGTCCATATTATGCCCTTTTTGGGGTTTGTATATTTAATCTATGTACCTACTTTTGTACGTTCACAATAGCTAAAGTTTGAAAAAAAGTGTCTGTTTTCATGTACTGCTCCTCCTTGCTCCCTCTACACTCTGAGTCCGTCAGCTACGCTCTGCTGAGCCCACACTGTTAGACCCCACGTGGGCCAAGTCTGCTCTTATTAGTCTGCCGATCTGCTCTGTCGTTATTGGTCAGTTGCTCAGCACGCTTCTCGGAAATGTCCCGCCTCTTTTACCATATTGGGAATGCAGCCACTGGCTCCGTCCGAGGGGAGCATAAACATGAGCACCTTAGCACTACTGTGCGACCGCAGGCTACGGCATGTCGTGGGCGTGCTACAGAAGTTGACGGGCATACAACATGAGCTGCTGGGCTTGCCACAATGAGCCAATGGGCTTAGATCAGTGATCTCACACTGACAATGACGTCGGACTGACACATTTTTATCAAGGGGGGCTAGAACCGAGCGTTACATGCAGCTAATGCTACAGCTAACAGGAGGAGGTAGGAGAAGCTGCGTTTCCGCGGACTTTGAAGTTTTGCACATAGATGTGCCTAAACATGCACAGGACACATGGAAAACACACTAAAGAGCATATAAAACCAGAAAAAGCATAATATGGGACCTTTAATGCCTGCCACTCTCAAAAGAATAAAGTGATTATAAAGCATCATCTTTCAATATCCAAAAAGCTGAGTTGGTCGCTACATGTTGTGAATGTCGACCATCAATAAAATTGTGTTTCTACGATCTCAACCAAACTGGAAGCAGATCTGAGAGTATTCTTGGTGGAGTTTCGCTGGGTAGCCAAACGTATACAAAGTTCTTGTTGGGCAAGTAAGATAGTATTTTTTTATTTTTTTATTAATTTTGGGCTTGTTATTCCTTAATTAGATACAAAGCACAGTAGATAGAGTGAGAAATCAAGGAGAGTCAGAGTGGGGAATGACATGCTGGACAGGGTCCACTGGTCAGATTTAAACCCGGGTTCGCCCACTTGGAGGACTACAGCCTCTTTACATGGAAATATTTCATGTTGAATATTTCATTGTTTTAGGCAATCATAAGTACAAAGAGTGGAGTGAGAGTCTTTATCTCAGGAGGATTTTGTTTTTCTTCTGGTTGACTTTTGTTATAAATGAGAACCATGTGAGAGACATTTGACACAGTAATAATAATAACATAGGGAGTAGTAGATATATATTTGATTGTATCCCACTAAAGTCGGGCTTATGTGCAGCCTAGAATTAGTGGTAGAAAGCGTGGTCAGCACGCACTGAAAGATCCCTTAATTTAAACCAAGAGAGTCCAACCCTTGATACATAAATGATATAGTCGTATATCTTGAACAATATTGCAATACTAGGATCTGTCATTAAGTACAGGCTTTTAAGTAACCTTTCACATGACACCCTTTCTTGTAGTAAGCCTCTAGTTATAGATCACGGCTCTGACTGTGTTTGAATGACTGAGATGAAAAAAATAACTGTTTTAGGGCGATGCTCCTGTAAAATCTGAAAGCTTGTAATTTATCTTTACTTGCTTAACAAGCAGCTTTGTATGAGCTTATTTGACATCCACATATATAAAGAAAAAAACACACTAAAAAAACTAAACCATATTTTTAGAGTGTGCCAGGTTTAGCTCTATGATAGACTGCCAATTTAGAGAGTAAAGTCTGTTCTACTTTGAGGCAGAGATACAGGCTGAGCTATAAAGGGCTGTTCCATTTTCTCACAATTGTGCTCTTAGCCTTCAGAGGAAACCTCACAACAAATCTTTGGTTGGTCAGAGGTTTATATCCTACTTCTTCTACTCCTAAAAAATCATGAAGAAATAAAGTAGATGAGAGAGAACGAGAAAGGGAGAGAGATAAAGAGAGAGAGAGAGAGAGAGAGATACACACACAGGAAACATCTGGGAAGAATCAGGGTGTAGAGAGAGAAAACTACAGAAAAGAAAAAGGCAGAGGAGGATGAAGGCTCGACCACAGGTTACAACCAGGCCCAAGCTCTGTGAGGTCTGCAGAAACCAACAAAATATCGCAAAGACACACACACGCACACATGCACGCGGAAAGGTGGCCAGAGGGGCTACCCAGGCTATGTATATAAACTACACAAAGGTCTCTACACAGTTGTCTCTTCTCAGGCCAAGTTTTAGAAGCTGGACTGTACAGAAGTCAGCAATATTATTTGTGTCATTTAAATAAGAGTAAAAACCAAGTGGAAATACACCATTACAGGTGTCATTCACAGAACATTATTTTTATAAAGTTTCTTCCTTGACATACAACAATAAATAAAAAGTTAAATTTTAAATCTTATTCTATGCTTCACATCTAAAGCAAGCTGAACATTTTAATTTCAAATGTCACCGTTTTAAATCTTTCAGATTTTCCCTCATGTAAAAGAAATCCCAATTAAAATGAAGCATATATTTGACAGTTAACTGACTTCTGGGAGCAAGAGCTGAAGAAAATCCTTCTTTATCAAAGCTTGGACTGATCGGATATGGGGAGACCACAACAAGAAGGCAAAGAAAACAACATGTGAACACACAAACATACAGCATCAGGAAAAAAAGACACCCACATGCCCTCCCTCCTTTCCCCACATGTTCACACACACTACATAAATAATCCCATGTAAAACAAGAGGGTAACAATGACTTCACCAGGCCTGGCCCATTCTCTCTCTCTCTCTCTCACACACACACACACACACATACACACAGACTCTTCCTTCACACAGACTCTTCCTTGCACTTTTTTCTCTCCATTCGGATTATGGAGAAACTTCCATGTGAACAACTTGCTGCTGAAGTTCCCAGTAGAAAGCCGCTGCACTTCCTGTATGCTACAGTACTTAATGGAGCAGACTTGGTTATCTTAGATATGTCTTCAAGCTCCTGGTTCTGCAGGAGTACCTTCGGAGTAAAGCAAGAATATAAAAGAAGGAAGGAAAGCATATGGCTTGATTTGTAAAATATATGTGGAAATTAAATTCAGCTCCAGAATCACACTTAAGGATGGCAGAGAACTAAATATCAAGAAATATAACCAAAATATAATGAACTAAATTCTTCTTTGATACACTACCTCATTTCTAAGTCAAAGGATATCAACAACCCTGTTTCTAATTATGTGTAACCTGTAACCATGTAACCTGGCAGGTGCATATACACTTTCCTGCAGTGTTATTCCCTGATTAAAATCATACACAAGGCCTTGTTCTGTGACTTGCTCTTATTCTTAAAGAGGGATCAAACAGCTGAGCAAGAAGACTTTTATTCTGGCGAGTTTACAACTGCAGAGTGGCGGGCAGGCGGGCAGGCAGCAACAAGCTTCCAGCCCGCAGGCTCCAGCGGACAGGATAAGGCTTCTTTGTTCAAGACTCCTCCTATTCCTCAGAGAAAATGAGAAAGTAGCCCCTGCAGCCTGACAAGGAGCCCACTCAACACACACACACACAAAGATGGGAGAGCACACACAACGACACATGTGCATACCTGCACACACACATGCAAACTAACTAAAAGAAAAACATGTACTAGCCTGTCACTAGGGTTGCCAATACTATCAGACTTTAACACTATTTAGCATTAAACTTTTTAATATGAAAGAAAATGGAATGACTTTAAGTTATCACTATTGCACAGTACAAAAAGCTTGAGTTGTTTAACAAAGTTTTCTTTTCTTCATCCCGCCTGAGCCTTCCACTGACTTCAGATTGTTGTGATTAGACAAAAGAGGAAACCTTAGCTCCCTCTTTGTAGCCCCAACTCAAGTCTGAGGTGTCAGGTGTATGTCTGTGTCAAAACTCACTGAAAATATGACTGGCCTTTTAGAAAAAGAAAACAAGTAGCTTCACAGAAAAACCCCAATTTTTGGTAGCTAATATAGTAAAAAGCCCACATGAATACTGCCATTTGAGCAAAAGAAAGTCCTAAACAAGACGATGAACACAAAAGCTTCTGAACATGCAGAACAGTTGAGGAGAGCAATCTGTGTAGACAAAAATAAAAAAACAAGCTGCACGCACAGAAGCAGCCAGCAAAATCCAACTGCAAGAATGGTATCAGATAACCATCTCTGGACATTTGAACTGTATACGTGTCTGAGCCTGTGTGTGATTGGAGGGGAAGGTGGGGTCATTTTCTGGTTTTCAGTCTAGTTTTTCCCAAACACTAAGCCCATCATTTTCAAATTAAACCTAATCACTGCTCCTAATGTCTGCTCCTATGATTGACAGATGGTTTAAATGAAGCAGAAAGCTCATTGTGTTAAATAAAGACGATTTTAGTGCACATAACTTTGCAGCGTGTAGCCTACTCTTCAGGCTGTTTTTACTGACTATTTTTAACCTTTTCTGCAACGACAACCCATCATTCTCCACTTTAGTGTAATCACTGCTCTTAGAACAGGAACAGCAGTTCAAACAAAGAGGAAAACTTTTCAGAAACTGACTCCGACTGCAGGTTTCAACATGTCACTCCGAAGTTACCTTTGCCAGGGGAAGAGTGCCCTAAAAAAAACAACCTTAAATTAAAGAATTAAAATTATATTTAGGATGGCCCTGGGGCAAACTGGTTTCCAAGATGAAAAAACATCTTTATGATTGTTGAGCTGAGGTTCAATTCAAGTTGCAGCTGTCAACTGTTAATTCTCTCGGGTTGAGATTAACCTTTAGCAGCTCGAGCCAAATTCAAGGTCATAATTACAATGATGATTAAATAAAGAGATTAAGGCTAATCATTGTGTGCCTCTAGGAAATAACCATCAAACAATAATTAGTTTGAAATCTTAAACATCAGAGGCTCTTATACCAGTTTATGTTACAACCTATTTTTACCAATAGGAAGGCTGCATTTGGAAAGCTGCGGGAAAAAGCTGCAATAATTGCAGAAAGTTGATATGACAAGGAGTCCCATTGTACTTCAGCAGACTCACTAACAAACTACATGTCATGATATACAAGTAGGAGAACAATGTAACCCCAATTGTGCATCAAAAATATCCCTCAGAGAGAGAAACAACAAAGGCAACAAAAATAAAACACAGAGTGAGAAGAAAGAATTACTGCGATGGTTCACTGAAGATTATAATGGTAACTCTCTCATCACTGACACATCCATAACAGAAAGCAAGATGACTCTGCACAAATGTCAAGGCGCACAAGCTAATCCCTTGTTATGTGAGCCCAGGCGGTCACAAGATGAAGGAACAAAAAGACCCCTCCCCCTGTGCCACGAGAACAACTTGACTCAAAAGTCGTGGATTTGTACCTGTAACACAAGCTCTGTGAACATAATATATCCCTACCTAGTGTTATGTAATAGCCAAGTAAATATATCCAGCTTTTGCAATCACCTTTGTTGTTGGAGTCACCAGGTATAAGCCATTAGCTAATTCTGGCAAAAGAACAGGATCGTCTTAGAAACAGTGTGGATGTATGCTGCTCAGATAACTTCAAACAACCACTACAAAGCGTTTGATTTATGGGAAAGTTGTGATTAACTGCCAGAGAGGTTTGAGAAACCTATTTGTACATTTTGATACGTGTGCTGTTGCTGCAACTCTTGGTCAACATTGAATGCAAACGTTCTACAGTTGCTTTAAAGGTCTAAAAGCGGATTGTGTTACACAAATAACTTGATGTACTGCAAGTGCATCCACACATTCTGTCTTTTCACATGCTCAAACACATAAATACACTGCCAGTAACTGTGCTCTCTTCTTAATCCAGGGCTTCCACTATATCCAGTGTATGATCTTCTGTGTTCCATTGCGTCACATCACAGCCATGTGGACTGACAATACAGCCGTGAAGACATAAAAAACAACAGCTATCTTGAATTTATAATAATACCACTATTTTCAGCAACAGCAATGACATACTGCTAAGAATTAGCATGCATGCAAAACTGCACAGCTCTAGCTAACACCTGCTTGAGTGTCTCTGCAATAAATAGCAACAACTGGAGTCCTATGACTGAATCAGTAAAACCAAGAAGGGTTGGGAGAACTAACTCCACTTCCACCAGCCAAAGCATTGGGCAGCTCCGCCACCAATCAGTGCTCCAGAATCTCTGGAATCTCTGGAAGCGGGAATGTGGGAACTTTAGAGATGCAAGTAATCTTTCTGTTGTGCAGTCCCTGTTTCCAGCCTGACAGAGCTCTGCAAATATAACGAGACAACTGTGTAACTGGCTAAACCTGGTGTAGCACCCTGGAGCCCAAAGTGGGACTTCTGAGAAAGCCTGCCTGTGCACAGCTTCTCAGATTGAGGAGTCTGCAAACACACATACAACAGAGACACTCACATTAACATGTTTTGAAAATTGCATCCTTAGAAAGACCTTAATGCCTCTGCAGATGACGTGTGTTTATGTGAAAAGATGAAAGGCAGAAAATAAAAAGGTGCAATGATAGAAAAAGACTTTGTACTTGCACCCCAGGAAATGAGCATCTACGTAAAATAAGCCAATTTTCCTCATTATGAATGTCATTATAAAGTGTGTAAGTGCCTGTGTACTTGTACAACAGAAATGAATGTTTCATGTATGTATGTACGCATACTTACAGCTGTGCAGCAAACAGTCGGCTCATCTTGGCCACATGTTCATTGTCGTCCATGTCGCTGTCCCCCTGGTCCCCGCTCAGCTTCCTCTTTGTCGGGCTGATTGGAGGAGGACCTGTCCTGTGGCTGCAAAGGGAGGAGGATGATGAAGAAGAGGAGGAGGATGACGATGAGGAGGAGGAAGATGAGGATAGAGAAAGGGACTGGAGTCTGGGATCGCTCCTCAAAGCTGCTTCACCTGAGGAAAGATAACAGAAAAAGGAGACATGAGTTCAAGAAGAAATAAAACTCCACCTTATACAAACACTGAACGAGGACAAGAATATATTTTAAATATATATACTGCATATGTGAGTATACTTATGGTCTTTTCAAAACATGACTGAGAATGAACGCCTGCCAACTCACGTGCTTCACTTCCACTAACCCATGGACATAAATTATGGTAATCACTCAAAATGATGTTATTTTTAAGTAGAAGGTGACTTCTTTATTGCTACATTTAACAAGTTGACCACAAAAACGACTTCATGACAGGGATACTGTACAGGCTGTGCTCCAGCTCAAACTTTGGATTTTGTTGACTTACACAGTTTGCTGAGTGAGGCACAAACCTCTGGCATAAGCAGATCTGGTTAGGAATGGTTTGGAAGAAACAGTTGTGGATGGGTTTTGCATGTGTGTGTGTGTGTGTGTGTGTGTGTGTGTGTGTGTGTGTGTGTGTGTGTGTGTGTGTGTGTGTGTGTGTGTGTGTGTGTGTGTGTGTGTGAGAACTATTTCTTCCTCTGTATTTGACTCTGTGCTTTCCTCCAGTCTTGTCCTAGTACAGAAGGCCTTTAGAGTCGTCAGTGAGTGGGAGTAAGAGCAAAAGAGAATCAGGAAAACTACCACTGGCTCAGCTTCAGCACGGGGACTTTCCACTGCTCTGCCGGCCTTGTGTATCTGTCTGACGTTTCCCCAAACAAAACATAAAGCCAAAGACTAAAACCCCCATTTCAACCCGTACCTTATCCTTTAACTACTCCAACACTTTGTAATAAAAAGTATTTTCTGGAGAATCATTTGTGTTTCTGGTGTCGCTTTTGCAAATTAAAAAACTGGAACCAGGAAAGGTTAGAAGCACAATGGAGATGTGATCACTCAAATAGTATTGTAATAATATTTGTGATTATTCTGCTTTGCTTACTAATTGCAATGCTTACTATTAAGATATGCAGTCATGAATAAGAAGCGCAAAGTTATTATGATTCTGCTGGAAACTTCATTGTGCAATCAATGACTAGCACAATGCTACTGACCCGTTTGTTTACAGCTAACGTTTCCTGTGCTGTCTAACAGGCCGAGATTTTTTCATGTAAAAAAAGGTGGACGATGTTCTTTTGGTGGATAAATCACAATGTCTTTTGAATACGAGGCAAAAGAATCTTGGTGAAATCTAGTTTAAAACAAAAACTTATTATATCATTAAGTCATTCTGAAGACCTTAGCTCACACACAAACATACACACTGAAAAGGCTTTGTAATGTAGTAAATGGTGTGCTCTATTCCTCCACTGTTCCTCTTTGTATGTGTAGTTTTAGCATGGCCTCCCAAACACAGTAGCAGCTACCCTCACTCTCTCTCTCTCTCTCTGGCATGTTCCTGCTCGCCCCACTGTGTACCATGGCAACAAGGCGGGTGACATCATTGTTTTTGGCAGGACGGAGCAAAGCCAAAAAAGAAAAGAAAAGAAGGGAGACTGTGACACACAACACTAACCAATCAGACCCCAGGACACACAATAGCTTATCAGAGGTTCAGAAGTGAAGCGCTCAATAAGGGGTGAATCTTTGAGTGTTTCTCTGCACACAAATAAGACATTCAGCTGTCTAGAGTCAAACCCAGTTGACTTCTCTGCCACTGAACAGTAACACTAGACACCATTACTCTCAGTTGCAAGTAATTCACATCAAACTGAATCGAACTCTGAAATAAATCCTACATTTGTAAAAGTCAAGATACAAACACAACCACTAAGAAGAAGTGAGGCTCAAGACACTATAAATAAGTAACAGCTGATTGGTGTAACACATATTAATTCAGCATGATGTACATTTTGTTCAGTTCATGAAGAACATGGAAATTAAACTACATGTCTCTATTTTTCCTCAACCAGCAGACAGTGGGGTTGTTACACAGAAGTCAATCTTCTCTCTACCTTTCCCTTCTCTGCTCTCTCAGTTCATTAAGTCCACATGATCAAAGCCTATGTCTCTTGACAGAACTTCAAACAGCTTGGAAATCTGGATGAGATTGGATTACAAACAGAGGTGAACCTCTATCTCTCTATTTGCCTCTCTCTTTCTCCCTCCCTCACCCCCCCCCCCCCCCCCATAAAGATGAGTCCAGGCATGTCTTCTCTTCTCTCTCTGCAATGCAGCAAAGTGATTATTTTTGGCTGAGTTTCTCAGTAAACTGAACTTGCCTCTCTTACCTTTATTTTTAAAGTCCTTAGAGGTTTTAGACTTTTAATACTTAAAAGAAAGACAAACGTTCATGTCTATGTAAGCTGAACTTTTCGACCGGATGTTAAATCAGTTTGATCTCTGACAGAAAAAAGGAACACAGTAAAGAAGGAAGAGGGAGAGAAATTGAGATTTTCATTCTGTCTATTTTCATCTGCTCAGCAGCAAAAAACAGACAGTCAGCATTCCCCTGGACCCAACACTGCCAGGACTACAACTGATAGCAGCTTTTCAGAAAGAAAGGGAGAGCTGGACAGAGGAACAGCAGGCAAACACCAAACACACCGAGAGAAGGAAAGGAACAGAGTGCTGGAGTAGTGAAAGTGAGAGAAAATCAATCACACGTCTCGCTCAACACAATCATTTACGAAAAATATAATCAACAGCGCCCTTGTTTATTGAAAAAAAAAAATTGGGAACAATCAACTGGCAAAGAAAGAAATCCACATTTAACAACTGCACATGTCATCAATGTTACACTTCTGATTCACATTTTAATGGACCACAATAGATGGTTATATTAAATTTGGTTCTTGACAGATATACTAGGTCCTGAAAGGCTTCCATAAAAAAAGGTCTTGTTCTGACCCCGAAGAATGACTTTATGATTTTATTCCAGTCCTCTTTTCAGACCATGCTACCTCGCATCATGAGCGCTGTTTGGAACCACTTAAAAGCCATCAACAATATCATCCACACATATTCTATTTCTAGAATAGCAACAACAGAAGGAAATGCTGAATGATTTTTTATATTTTTTCACTTTATTACAGGCATCACAAGTGTTCTTTTTGCACTTGCTAATAAATGATGGTGATAACAATGGAGTGAAAGCCTTGAAAAAAGCACTGAAGTCCTCAGACAGTGTACCAGTATTAGAACCTATGTCTGTTTGTTACAAGGAAAGTATTCAAACTCATGCATAATAAATCATAACTCCCACAATAGCACTCAGCTCCTTCAACCCTTCTTGGCTCAATTTGTTTGAACATGTGGGGCTTTTCTTTCATGTACTGGTTGGCTGTTTTCCCTGCTCTGCTCTTTTATCTGTATTTTCTTATCAAAAGGCACATGATGGAGTCAGATTATAGCTCAGTCAGCTAAAAAAAACCACAAACACGCACACACACAGGAAAACAAATAAATGGCCTAATCCTCAAAAGATATGCTTCCCAAGATTAGAAAGAAAGCTTTATGTCCAAACCCATCACACCCAGATGTTATACACATATATTAATACCTCTAAATAGAAATGTCCTCCCTTCACTCTGGTTATTTCCTTCATTAAGAAAGACAGGATAAAACCTAATGTACAAAGCTTTGCAAGGACACAGGAAATCTTCTAATTGGCTTCAATGCAAACCCAGTGGCAGTGTTTTTATCTGCTAAACCATCTCTCAACTGATGGTTGAGCTTTCAGCCTAATTTATTCTTGTGTCAAATCTATGCCGTAACATGTGTCATAGATTTGCATAGCCCTGTACCTACACAGAAGCCTACATAGCCTGACATGCACGTGCACCTGCTCAAAAATCCTAACTAAGCATCGAAATGCTGCTGACCCCAAGCCCTGTGATTGGTCTGCTGGGTAGCATCATATTTCAACTGTTTACAAATTTTCCACTATTGTAATGATATTTGAAATCCTTCAGAAGGAAAACACAAGGCTATTGATCAGCTCCAAATACAACATTATACAATTGGTTTCAGTCGCCATGGTTTCGTGCACCAGGGCCTTCAACACTCTGCCATAATTTCTAACTGCAATTATGGCTGTACGCTAATATGGCGGCAGCCCTTTATCGTATTTACTACAGTTCACCAGAAAACATACCAAAACCAAACTACCAAGGAGGAAGAAAAGTGTGGCGTATTATCACCAAGGCATGAAGAGAGACAAAGATTTCTTAATACCAGAGAAATAATACAATTATAGAAAGAGAATTATGTTCACATCTGGATAATTTATCTTTCTGTAAGGTAAGAAGACAGCTTAGGTGAAGAAGTAAACTTCTCTCTGTGTTTTTCAGGTTCATCATCAGACTACATGTGAATGATCACACACTAGAATGTGAAATTTGACATCCATGCAAGAAGAACCAGATATTATTAACATGAACTAATCTTTCTTTGACAAAAATAAAGGGAAGTTAATAAAAAAATGAATGCCAATTTGGGGAACAAAAACACACAAGAATACAAGAATTATAGTGTTTGATAGTGAAAGGTTCCAGGAGGAGGAGCCCCAGACTCTACTTTAACCGTGGAATAACGTATTGATTTTAATTTTGGGGCACGATAATTTGTACAATAAATTAGGTTTGGCACAGATTCAGAGCAGAACCAGGCTACAACATATTTTGTGTGCCTGACCTGAGGAACAAAACTTGAAATGTCACATGCATACAAGTATTAAGTTGGTCTGCACTTTGTCAAACAGGTAATACAGGAACACAACATTTACTTTGCAGCAAATCATTAGATCCAACTCTGTTGACAGGGGTCATAATGAAGGCATTGGCCACCTGCTAAACCTCTTCTCTGACTTCCATGCAAATCTGCAGAGTATTTTTCAGTCACAATGGACTGCAAAATACGGCCACAAGATGTTCAAGTAAACTACCCAGTTTCTGATAAAGAATGTAGAAAATGTATGTAAAGCTGCACATTTAATTTCTTTGTATAATGAAAACACGGATGGACAATAATCAGTGGTCATGAACTCTATTGCAGTCTTCTACTACTTTCTGTGTGGTAAATCCGTTATTCAAATGTACATTATTAGTTGCATTTAATTTCCAAATCTGAAAATCATGAGAATGCAGTAAGACATCTGCAGCCGTGCGTGAGTGAGTATATTTTGAATGTATCAGTAGAAATCAGGGGCAAAGGAGCACAGGAAGGAACTCTTATTTAGCCCCCAGAAAGACTGGATGATATTACACTCCCTGACATGAGAGCAATAACTACAGAGCAGAGGACAGGAGCTGCACTACTCCAAAGTCAGTGGCTTTGCTGAGACATGGAAGCACTGCGTGTCCATGACATAACATTAAATTCTAGGCTGCTCATGCTAGAAATAACTTGTAGTCCAGACTGGAAAGAGGAGAGAGGGGAGAGAAGAAACGTGCGAGGCCTACACAACGGGATACAGATTTTAAAATGCAGATTATGTGGGATTATAATGAGTAATGGATAGCAGAAAGTCAGAATAACTGAATGTGTAGTAAAAGAGTGAATGAGGCACTGGAAAGCCCTGAAATCCACACATGGCTTCATGCACTCTTTTATTCAGCCTTTCATCGCAGTCATTTGTCAGGTCTCCCTTTTGAAGAACAATCAATAGCGCGGAAACAACAAGTCAGGATAATAAACACACTCAAAATGTGTAAAATAACGAGCAAATAATGTTAACCCAGTGAGCTAGAAGTGGTACCACGTCCCATGGAAATATAACGTAGGTTTAAACCGTTTAAAAAAGTTATGACAAGTTTCAATTTACATTCATGAGTCGCTTAGAAATTCAACAAGTAAAATTCAGCATGTGCGTAAACTTTAAACGTCCCCACTGCACGGCGTATTAAACGTCGTCACCTGAGTTTCTACGTCGTTAACTTTAACTCGCAGCGTAACTTCACGTTTTAAAAACAACAGTAGTAACACCCACAAACAGCACGAAAAGCCTCCACTTTACCTTCATAGCAGAGAATGCCAATATTGTTGTTCATTTTGTCCAGGTACTGGTAGTTCAACAGGTCCATTTTCGTTAGAAGCATTTATCGAGTTGTTAAAAAAAAAAAAAAAAGACCAGCTTTTTTCTTCTTTTTTCTCTGTCGATGGTCAAAAAGCTAAAGGCCCAGCCTCCAACTTTAGTTTGGAAGAACCCCCCTTTCTAAATTATAAACCCTTTGACCGAAGGTTTAAACTGGGTACTCCCAGGTTTGAATACGTTTTGTATAGTTTTTTTAAAAACACGAGTGAAAGTATCGCGGTGATAAAGAGCAAAAAGAGAGTAGCGTCAGTTGTCCTCACAGCCAGCTGTAAGTCGACTGCACTGACACGCAGGCTATGCTTGGTATGACTTCTATGCTGCACCAGTGGTTTCCTCTAGTGCTGAGAGGGGCGGACTGGGCATGCTCGCTAAATCCCTGAAGCGCCTCAAATATTGGGGATGTTTTACGCACAAGATCAGCCTCTACAAACACAACCAGAGAGAGAGAGGGGGGGAGGAAGAGAGAGAGAGAGAGAGAGCGAGAGAGAGAGGGTCGAGATCATCAGTAATCCAGTATAAAATGTCAAAAGTATCACGAGTGGATACCAATACAGTAGTTCAGCCACACGATTTTTTAACAGATCGTTGATGTAGCCTACGACATGAAGTGACAACTAGAGTTTTAAAAGGTGCCATAAAAGTAGGCCTACAATATGGCTAAACATACTGTCCTCCCTAAAATAGTATAATAAGGTTATTACAGAGTGTGCACCAGAGTTAAGTCAATATTCACTGGCTGTAGCCTGAACAAACAGTATTGAGATGAGACACAGTAAAAGACTGTGGACAGAAAAGGGCAAAAGTTACAATTAATAGGAGAGATGATGAAGCAAAAAGAGCCAAGTGGGTAAGCTGCTGCTTAAAAAGCCCTTTAGTAAAGATGTTGGAATGACCATAAAACTCCATTGTTTTTTTTATTCCAATGGGTCTGTAGCCTACGCAGGCAGAACAGAATATAATAGACTGAGGACTTTTATTACAACGACAACTAAAGACAGAGAAAAAAACATTTATGATTCAATGTGAGTTATGAAAAAGAAAATTGCAATTTGCCATCAGTGGTCTTACAAATGGAGGGAAAACAAACTTTACTGAGTCGATGTGTGTGGGTACAAAAACACATTTTAACTTGGTTCTCTCCTGCCCCCTGGTGATTGAAAAGGGCTATGCATGTTTTGTCCAGTATGAAGAGACAGTTGTGGAAGAAAGAGGAGGGAAAGTTGAATGAAAAGAGGAAATGGGTATAATCATCATCAAGGATGAATAGCATGTGAATATGACTGGCATCATATTACGTGGTTAGAGAGAGCAGTTTACGTCTGGGTATTTGACTGAGCACATAATGAGCAGGGTGTGGCTGCATTTCAAAGTGTGAGTTTACACACAGGAACACATTTGCCATGTGCATGCTTCTGGGCCACACTTACCTGCAAACACACAGGAAGGGAAAGGAGAGCCGTCATGAACAGCACAAAATACACACAATGCCACAGCAAACTCATCGAACATGATGAGTTTTTAAAAACAATTAAATATAGGCTACTCAAAGCTATAGAAATAAGTCAAAAGAACGAGAAAAATCAGTGTTGTCCTGATTTCATCCAGTCTTGGGCCCTTATCTCTGTGTAATGATGACTGAATACACAGCAGAAAACAAACAGCAAAAAGATAATGAACTTTGATGAAACCTTTCAGGCAGGTGCTGTTATTTCTGCATCATGTGTTCAACGCAAGTACAAAGCAAACAAGTTATGGCTGCTTCTTTGAAACCTATTTGATAACACTAACTTCTCACATTGCTCAAACCCAGGTCAACAGACCAATTATTAAATTATTTCTGAATCCTGCACCTTCTCTCTTGCACGTACATGAGCCACAATTTCCACATTTACATCTGCACAGGAATAAATAAATAAAAAACATACCTCTTTCCAACCCTGGTGCACAAACACACATCATCACAGGTTGTTTCAAACACCTCCCCCCCTCTCTTTCTCATACAAACCCAAGCAAACAAATACACACAAAAGCCCCCCTCCTCCCTCTTGGGAGTCCTTGTAACGGTGACTCAGAACTAAGGAAAAGGTTCTTGTCTCATTGGACACCCTTTGTTTCCAGAGTCACACACAACAGGGCTTAGCTCACACGAGGGATTTTTCACTGCTGCTAGTGCTGCTACTATCAGCCTTCGACTACCTCATAGGCTTAAAGTGTTAGAGGCCTCAAACTGTTTGTTGGATGTTCCTGTCGTTGTATCATGCACAGGTGTGTGACAGCAGATTTTTTAAACAGTGTATCCAAAAATTGAAAATTATGGAAGGCATAAAGAAGATGTTTGGGGAGTGTTAGCATTAAGCACTACTTAATTTGTTCTTGTGAATTTAATAGTTTGCAATTATCACAAACACTTGACTTTAACTGAGTGAAACAAGGAAACCATGTTCCAAACACTGTATCCTTTGTTCCTACTGTACATGCTGTAAGACTGAACAAGTATTCTAAGGAGATTAATGGTTACACAATAAGTTGGTGAAATTCCCCCTCTTTCTCCCTTAGAGACAAGCTGGTTCACATTACTTAACCTACTGTGGTAATAACTCTTTTCTTACATACTGGTTTCCCTGTTTACTTTCTTTAAACTGAGTCAGCACAGTTTTTAGAAAAACTAAAGTATAAATATATTCAAACACCAAATGTTTCCTGAAAATAATCACTGGCTCTCTTACTTATGCAAATAAATACTTCAATTTCCTTATATGTAAATTATTAATTTGTAACTGTTGCTCTGGAGTTTGCAGCAAGAGTTAGGATCCCTGAAAGCATCCACCCATTTACTCATTATTCACATAGTGCTGTGGGTACACAACCGCCCTTCATCCCCAGTAGAACTCCTGCTGTCCTGTCATTATCCCCCTTTACTTCCTGCCTGTCTGTTTATTCTTCTGATCCATAAAGACAAGAGGCCTACCACACCTTCTTAAATCTCCTGCGGTGTTGTGTGTCTCTCTGAACAGGTCCAGGCCTCTCCGGGGAGAGGGTGTGTCTGGATAACAACACACGGTACAGGCCAGGTGGTGATTCATCCTAATGCTTTATTAACACACTCCAGTGTTGTGGCACAAACACTGGCTGATAGGATGATGGTAGAGTGTAAAAAAATGGGGTGACTGACTTCGGTCTTTTTTCATTCACAAGTAATCTGCCACAGTTATCCTATTCCTTATTCGAAAATCAATAAAATGAGTAGCCACTTCCTTAAAACTTGTTATAAATATCATAAGCCAGGTTGGAAGAAAAACACTTAAACTAGACGAGGTCCTTGGGTCAAATTCTCAATCACTTTACGGCGTGCTCTGTTAAAACATCACCACACTTTTACAGGCATTGTTTACACAGTGATATAATGTGCTGAAGACGTTTGTCACGTCTGAAATGTATCAGCTCAGCTCTTGGTATCAGGGTGGTAACTGTTACTTCTTCATAAACCTTGAGGCTGTAAAATGTTTGATGACACATGTAATGTCTGCAAACACCTGAGTAGGACAGACAGACCTGTAATACAAGTTATTGTACTACAGGTTGGTGTCACATCGCTTTTAACCCTCTGCAAGTGAAATATGTATGTGTCAAAAATCCTAAATTCATTCATCAAAATCCCCCTTCAATGTCACTGACTGTCAAAAGCCAGCAGGAACCAAGAGAAGTTTAGCTTTCTTTACTGACATGTACAGTATATCATCTAAGTTTCATTCAGAGGCAGAATTACAGTACAAAACTGTAAAGGGCCACCATAACAAAGAGTTCCTGAGAGTGTTTGTGTCCACACACACACACACACACACACACACACACACACACACACACACACACACACACACACACACGAGGAAATATCAGGTTTCTGAACTGAAACAATGAGAACAACAGGTGATTGTTTGGAAGTGAAGCTATCCAGTCATTTCCCACCTTTGTGCTGTCTGTTTGTGTTTATGTGAACACTCCACTTGCTATGGAGAACTTCAATTTCAAACCACTTCATTACTAGATCAAGATTCACAGGATCAAGAGATTGTGTGCCTTCCTAAAATACTTAAGTAATCAAACAGTATTCTGTAAAACACAAAGAACAGCAGATACACAACACTCACTATTTAATATTGTTTTGTATTTATTGCATTTCACAATGCAAGATTGAATTATGTAATGGCACATGCATATTGCACTTTTTTACATTTACATAATATATATATATTTTATCTTGAAAAAAGAAAAAAAAAATATATATACACATCTTTGATATAAAGATTTCAATCAATCACTTATATTGTGCAGACCTGGACTCTTCTTGTTGGACCACACTTTTCTCTCACACTTTAGACTTATATTCTAAACTCTCATATCAGATTGTGGTGCCATTCAACAGGAACTCTGTTCTCCCTGTGAGCTACAATCAACAACCATTATGGTTTCTCCGTGTTGTCATACAATCTGCAGTGACTGACACAAGATAAGCCAGTTGAAGACTGAGCAAAGTGTTCTCTCAAAGCCGAGACATCCAAGTCATCACTGTCTGACTCTTTCTTTCTGCTCACCGGGCCTGCTGAGTAAACTGTCACCCTCTTCTCTAAAACTGATCTGCTGTCTATCTGCCCTCCAAATCGGTCCGCAATACTTTCTCTATCCATTTACAAAAGCTCTTCCCTTAAAGTGGCCTGTAAGACCTTGACAGCCTTTGTAAAAAGTCAATTTTCAACCCTTTCTCTCCTCTAACTCTTTTTCTTCTCTCTCGGTCTCCAAATGTTGTGTACAAAAATAAGAGGAAGACAGTTGCCGATCTCTCACACTCTGCGATGCAACAATAGATATACTGTGTGTTTTTACAGGTATGTAACTGCCTGAAGCACAACTCAGATGTGATTGTAAGATACAATGTGTTCTTTGCAGCAAAGATTCAGATGTCATATATATAATGGTTTAAAGGATATCTAGTGGCAGCAGTGACATCTCTGTCACTCTGTCAAACTAACATTTGTCAAACATCAAATCCGAAGTATTTAATCCGGCTTTCACATAAAAATGTTGGGGTTTATTCAAGTCTGGTTGCTAATTTATGAAAGATCAGTCATTTTGACTATCCCACTCCAAACAGATCTTATTTCTTGTCATGCAAAATAAATGATGCCTCCATTGGCCAAAGGGACATTTTACTACATTCTTGCCATGCTACCAATTAGCTGGTAACAAACTGACCCTAGGGGCTTATCGTCTATTGGCCAAGACCGCCCTGCGTGGGACGGCAGGCTCTGAGCCATAACCATTCACGTTCTGCATCGG